GAAGAGGGCAGTAATTAAAACTCCATTCTGAAAATACAAGGTCATGTGGAAATTTATATGAAAGATGCTTCATAAAACTAAATTATTAGTTGAAGAGTGCTTAAATTGGGTAAATAGTAATTATCACTAGCATCCATTTATATTTGACATTGATTCACAGTCTTAACATGAATTTTGCATGCCATATGGAGCATTCCAACAGGGCAAGGTATTGATCCAAAAAATTCCAGCAGTGGTTTGTGTTCTTTGTGGCTGGGTTTTCACAGTAGAGGTTTATATCACAAGTCATATTTTAGGAATTGTTGCCAAGTTGTTGTTGATTAGATCAGAGAGGCCAATGACTAAATTGTTGCGAAAAGTGATCTTCACCTCATTTTCAGCATAAATTTGCCAAATCTAATGGAAGATTGTATGATAAGTAATTTTTTAAAACATACCTAGCAGAAACAGGGAATGTGAACATAGTTCTTGTAATGTTTTTTTTTTAAAAATAGCTCTTCTATGAGGGATTTAGTGAATTCTAAGGGTTGAGATATTTGCCTAGTTTTTGGCTGCGACAGGTATTTGTAGCTTGATGTTATGACCTGTAAATGTTACTTTCCATTAAAGATTTTGAAACGTTATGAAATATATTTGAATCGGATTTTTTTTATACAAAGATCAAACCTGCCCATAAATTTTCATGTTAATTGATGGATGTTCGCATTAGAAACAGCTGCTTGTAGGCCTTACCTATAGGTTATGCTTTATTTTTGTTTGTTTTGTTTTTTTAAAACATAAAAGATCCAACTTTGTTGTTTTTTTTATGGTGAGATTGGATTCAGCTTAGACAAGTGCTCCTGGTCACTTACTGCTTTTAGGATTATCCTCTTGGGAATGGTCCTAGTGAGCAAAAACAATGATACAAGACAATCCAAAATGTGCAAACTCAGCAAAAGTGTTGTTAATTGGTATTTTTACATCTAACTGTAAAAAAATCTCGTTAACATGTATAATGAATAAAACTAAAATTTTTAACACTTTCCAAATAATTTAAATTTCATTATATAACTGACTGGAAAACTGACAAGGGGGAAAAGGTTATGATCCCACATGAGCTGGTAGGCTGCTGTGTACAATAAAAATATTTGCAGTCTGCAAAGTGTTCCAGTATCTTTTAGAATGACAAGATTAAGGTGACTTCAATTCCCTAAACTTGATTGTAATATTCTTTCACCATGACTAAATATGCCATTTTGAGAAAGTGTTGACATGATTTTTGTAAGAAGAAATCACACCTCACAAAGCTTAAGAACCAGTGAACACATGTACCAGGTTGATAAAGAATATTGAAAACACTGAAGAAGATTCTTCACTAAAGGTTATTAAAGAAGGAAAACAGCTGTGGAATTCAAAGAAATGCCCTTGTATGAATAATAACTGCCTGAAAGATAGATAACAAATGTTAAGAGCAAGCAAGCAAGTTTCAAAATGAAAGGAAATAACATGCAGTTCTTTTGCAATTTGTCATGAGGCTTAAATTCTTTCTGCTGAAGAGATAAAAAGGGGATACAGGAGCAACCGAGACAGCAAAGTTTGTTGACAACGCCATGTTACTAAGGGTAGTAAATGTGAGAGCTGGACAACAATGGACTTCATGTTTCTGTTAACAGCCTGGCATAAATAACTAGTGAAATTTGGTGTGGACAGATATAATGTGACATTGTGTGCTTGGACCAATCCTAGCTTTACTGGTATAACTATGGGCTTCAAGGTAGCGTCCTACAGTCAAGCACAAGAGGAAAATACAAGCTCAGTAGCAGTGAAGAACAGAAAAATTAAAAAAACCCCAAAGGTTAGGAATTACTGGGAAAGGTAATGAGAACAAAATAGCATTATGAGCAGTATGAGAGTTATATTCCTTCCACCACTTACATGCTACATACAGTTCAGACCTTATTTCAAAATGAGAAAACTACAGGAAAGGATGCCTAAGAAGGCTGGGCAAAGGTGGTGGAACTGGTATATGAAGAACAGTGGAATAAGCAAAACAGCTTGTCTGCAAAAGAGAAGGAAATATGAATGGATTGAAGAAAGTGAACAGGAAGTGATTCATACTCTTTCACTGCAAATATCTGAACTTTGAATGAAATTAGCAGGTTTAAACCTGACATGCCAAATGGCATGCACTCATGTTTTTGAATTCTTTGTTCTAGGACTTGGTGATTTACCAAAAAGCTTACACTTGCAAAAAGATTTAGGAAGTTAAGACAAATCCATTAACTCCATTAAATGGATTTATTCTGCAGCTTCTCTTAAGATATCTCTGGGCATGAAACCTTGGAAACTTGGAGTATTCTGGGGAGGTACTGCTATATCTTGCACTCCTATACTCAGTCATCTACTGTTGGCCATTCCTGGTGAGAGACTAATTACTGTGACGGACCTCTCTGGTGTGTTCTTGCTGTGTTTCTTCTCAGACTGGAACTCTTGAGTCTGTTTTATCAGTGGATTGATCTGTGCCTAGGAAGTCAAGGCTCCTGGCTCATCAAAAATGCAGAACTTGGAGGAGCAGCCACCAGACGTATTCCACTTTTCATGATATTTGTGTGTTGGCTTCTGTTTCTGCCATAGATTGTTTGGATACTTCTGCAAAAAATATTTAAGTTTCTTTTCACCTAAACTATCTGCTCTTCTTAATGTGGTAGAAATGGAGCTGCCTAAGGTTGCTTTATTCATGTGTAATTATTGAGTGTTTGGAAGTCCTTGTGTCTGAGCTATTACTCGAGCATGAAGTGTGGTTTAATACCTAACCCTGACGAAGTTTCATATCTTTAATTACTCTGAGTACTTAAACAATAACTTTGTATTCTATATAAAAACAAATATAACAGAATGAGGCATTACACTCCCTAAATGTTGAATTATCCAGGGTGGAAGGCTGCTTAGACCAATCCTTGAAAAGACAATAATCAGTCTTGTCATACAACAGAATTTGCATTCTTTTGGTGGTTGTCTAAATCAAGAAGTTTGGGGAGTGCAATCCAAAGAACGTTTTTCATTTCAGCTACAGAAGAGATGCAGAATTTTCAGGGCAATGAGATATTTGTGATGTTAACAATCTAAATGATTTTTATTGAGAGTGACAGATGGTTCTTGGATAATGTGCTCAGAGTCGTCTGTAGTATGTTCAGAATAAGTCTTATGGAAGGTTGTACATCTGCCTTGAGATTTTTTTCTAAAATATTTAAATCAAGGTCATTGTTTATACTTGATTTTAAATAGCTTTTAGCTGGTAGTCTGCATTTCTGTACATTTAGAGATCAAACTGTTTGCAACTTCAAAAGCTGCAAATGGAAAAGTATAATAGGTATCAGGTGTTAGAAAAGGCAATTATGCATTAGCTGTTTTACTCAATTTCTAAAACTGTCTAAAACTATCCATTGGAAATACTTTGTACCTGGGCTTCTCACTGAAGCATGATGAATTTTTAAATCTATAGGGGATATGCACTTTTTCTCTAATGAATTGGACTTTTAAACCTATTTTGTTTCATTTAAAAGAGCTTCATTTTGAAGAAACTTTTATTGCTGAAAAAAACCTAGAAAAAAATCACAAGACAAAGTACAGGTTCTTATACATGTCCAGATAATTTTTCTACAATTCCTTAAAAGTATTTCCAAAATTAGCTAATTCTTATTTTCAGTTCCAAGTACACTTTTAAACTTAAAAGCTTTGCTCCAAATAATTGGCATTATCTCTTTTCTGGCACCTTACTGATTTGGTGGGCCAGATGGTCTGTAGTTTCTGTAGCTGTTAACAAGGTGTTTTACAAACCTCTTGTAGCACACCGTACTCTTTTATCAGTCAAGGACAGAGGAGAAGGAAAAGTGGTAGTAGGAGAATATTTTCCCTTCATCACTTGTTATAGCTGGGAAGTTTATTTATTGCATGAATTTTAAAGACCATGTTCTATGTTAAATAGCAATAAAATAGGTATTTTATCATGTTATGCTTTATATAAGGAGTTGTATCAGTTCACTATACTTGAGAAGAACACTCTATTTTCCTGAAGAATAAGCTTCAGTTTTGAAATGACCAGCAGAGAATATGAAAAAATTTGCTATTTTTAAAGCACTATAATTAGATCTTGTAAATTATATAGATATCAACATTTAAATATACCTCAATTTTCAAGATGATATAGTTTAATTTTATAATTATTATTTCCAAATTTTATTTTGATGAGGTTTTACATAGCATTGGTTCACACTCAAAACATTGATAATGTAATAGGAAATTTTTTTTTTTTTGGTTCTTAGTAGTGTAGAAAATATAATATTAATTTGATAATATGAGAAAACTTACTGTTGTCTTTTAAAGACCTTATCACAAAATTTTCTAAACTCTTATGTGAAATTTTGAAATACTAATTTCTAGGGGGAGTTTTATAAAGTGATGGAATCTGCTGACTTGAACCAGAACAGAAAGCTACAGATCTGAATACAAAACTGAGCTGTAAAAGTTTCATCTTATGAGTAGTTTTTCTTCCTATGGTAAAAACATCTAATTCAGTTCAATATAATACAAGATATTTTTATTTTTACAATGCTTATTAATTTCCTATATAAAAATTTATACTTCAAAATCTACTGCTAGTAGCAGAGGAGACTTAATAATGGAGATGAAACATATGTTCACACCAGTGTTGAGCTGGACAGTACAGTATTTCATACCAGATATAAGCTAATGGATAACACCAGAAATGGAAAACACATCAGTAAAGAATGAATTTAAATATGAGAAATGGAAACTGCCTCACCTCTGTCCCCGTTACAGATAATAGCAATGAATAGGTTTGGCATAGATTAAATGCAAGCATGTTTGTGATACAAAGAGAGACAGATGAAGCTGGCATTTGTAGTTAGAGGTAAATGTCATAAAAATACAGTTGAGGCATATGGTGATCAAAAGTATTTTATTTGTGTATTGAAAGGATGATCTATTTTTATTTTTTCTAGTCTGAACCAGAGGGTTTTTCTCACTTTCACTTGTACGTCTGTGCTGCCTTCCTTGTCAGGTGGAGGAAAGAGATCCTGGAGGAGAAGGATTTTCAAGTAAGTGAAGAGAATATTTTTCAAGCACAGGGTGGCATTTCTTAGATTTACCTTCCTAACATTACTTGGGGATGAATTTATATAAAATGAATTTATATAAAATAGGAGCAGCAAGACTGACGATACCTTACTGTTAGGCCTGAATTGATGGCCTATAAGCAGTAGAAGATGTTTTCTTTGTCCACACTGGAAAAAAAAAAAGCTGTTTTAACTGAGTCAGACTTTGAAAAGATGATTTCTGGAGATGCTGTTATCTTGGTATTTCACAGAGATTTTCTCAAAAGGTAACTGGATTTTTTTAATCTTAAATGCATCACTGAAGTATTTGTAATTTCTCATCTGTATAATATAACATTCTCTAACAAGGTCACGTTCATTCTTTCAAAAAAGCTGGACAAGCAGTCTTTTAAAATAAAGAGCCTGATTTTCATTAGGAGGTAAAAGGACTTCAGGCCCCTATGTTTCACAACCTTCCAGAAAAAAGCATGTCAGGAAGTTGTTTGTAAGAAGATTTGAATATGGTAGATTAGGAAATCATTTGCATACATCCATAGAAGTCCAGTCATTTTTGTGAACTGGTGACAGTTCACTTTCATAAAAATATTTATATTGAATTTTACCCTATGATACACACTGACTGCCTAAAAGGCTTTCAAGTCTTGTTTGAAGGCTGAATGTGAATAGCCTGTGCTGCAAAGCCCCCACCATTGCCTACCCCGGAGAAATGGCCCATTACCAGCTTATTTTCTCTCCAGCTGACTGAACTCTGTGGCCCTCTACAAATGAACCATTGTGCAAATTTGTGTATCATTTCAATCTATTTTATCTTCATGAAAGGATTTATTCAGAGCTGTCATTGCCTGTCTTTGAAATGAATAAATCCCTAAGGGTACAACATAACAGCTTTAATTTCTACTACCTGCTAACACTGTCAGATTTTCTCAATTTATGGTACTTTGTCAAAATCATCTCTAATGTTGGTATCCATACCTCTCGATTGCAATTGTTCACTGGTAATCCTCCCTATTAAGTTTTCCATGTGGATTTCCTGCACCATAGAGCATAATTTTCCTCTCTCTACCAAATCTATTTCAACTATGCTTCAAGTAAATAACACCATGGTATAATACTATGAAGACTGGTTTTGTTCTACTTGCACACATTCGGATTTGTTTACTTATTTAATAATTAAGGTATTTCTGTATGGTTTAATTTCTTTATAGGCCATGTAAACTGTAAACTAGAATATAACGTACAAAAATCAGGAATACATTGAAATGCATTTATCACACTGCTTTGGATTGCTTACAGCATAAATGCAATTGGTAATTTTGAGGATCTGTAGATCTGTGCTGGTTTTATCACTATCATATGTTATCACTAAAAGCCTTGGCCTTCTTTATTGTGTAACATGACCTTTTAAAATGGCTAAAGTAAAGTGTTATCAATTCTCTAAATGATACTTCTGTCCCACAGGCAAGAATAATATCCATTATTCTTCTGCTTTGTTAGTAATAGCTGTAGATCATTGCCTAGTCGTTGAACTAATAAGCACTTAAACTACATTGGAAAATTGGGAAGTTCAGTATATGCTGTTTGGAGTACTCTGATTGCATTGAATTCACATTATTGAGAAATCATAACTATAGTACATTTTGTACAGAAGTTTTTTGTTCCTTAAACTGTATCAAGAATCACATGCATTGAGTAATTTCTCTTGCACATAGAGTGTATTGTATCTGTTTTTCTGCGTATGAAAGCAATGAGGGAAGTCTCTCCTAACTGTCAGTCAGAGGGCCTTGTTCTTTTCTACGAGCTGTGAAAACTCCTGCTCTTCTTTCACATGTCTGTTTGACCTCTTTCAGTAGAAATACAGACCTCATAGGAATTTTAAGTTGGGATAATTTCCCAAGAACTTCCTGTGCGGCACTGTGCCAGAAGAGGCACTGAACAGATTTTGAGTGAAAGACCAATTTTGAAGGAATTGGTTATGCAACACTTTTATTCTTATTATTTGATGAAGTATACATCAGTAATGTTTCAGACAGGATGATGACAAAAAATAGTCTTTGCTCTTAAGATACTTGTTTTCAGTCTTTTAAATATATCTGCAACCAAGCAGTCGGTAAAAGCATTATATTTATTCTTCCTGATGAACAGATTCATTGACTTAGATACCAGATGTTCATCCCTCAATATTTCTTTATTACAGACACACAATGTGTGTGATTGTAGTTTTGGGAACTTTTTTTTGTGTATTGTCATGTAGCAGAGGAATAAACTTTGAAATTAAAGAAGTTAAGCTGGACTCATACTATAGAGTGATACAACCTGAAAATTGCTTGGTATTTGGTTTATATCTGTAGAGTTATTTTTCATGTTTCAAACAGCATAATGAAATAATTTTTTCACTGTAAGATGAAAAGTCATTATGATAGTTGTCTTCTTTTGAATCAATTGAACAAGTTATTGCTCTCACTGCCATTTATTTGGTTAAGTACACAATATCAGATGGTTTTATTTTCCTAGGAGTTTAAAGCTGCTTACATTTTGTCCTATATATTCAGTTATCTTTCTAGTAAGGTATTATCCCATTTTGGAATTTGCTATTTAATACAATGAGTGTGATGCAATGCTATGTAATGAGGACAAAAATTATTACATTCAGCAATTTTCAAATTCCCTCGACTCACTTTTTGATAGCAGTGAAATTAAACTGACATGTTTTCAGGGTGATGTTTCAAGTATTTCATGCCCATGTATAATACAAAGATTAAGAGTGTGGAAAAGAGTGAGGTTGTTTTTTTTTTCTAGTTTTCATTAGGGCTTGTTATTCTCTCTTGGTTCTCACTTCTAGAGAGTCCTCTTGATCTAGATAGGGTGCCCCACAAATCCAGGTACAGAGAGGTAGTTGGGATATCTCTGTTACTCTATTCATAGTTCAGATTAGCAGTTTATGCTTCACATGTGGGGGAACAGGGAACACAATGGCTGGGCAGTAAATGGCAGAAATTTTAATCCTGCCTTAGATTTTCCCTTGTAACCAGTGTGATGTTTTATAGACTCAAACAGGTCATTCTTGGTTTCTGGCATTTCTGTTGATGATACGAATATTCTATGTTAATTTACTAGTTCCATACTAGTGTCAGACAAAAAAAAATAAAACAAAAAATAAAAAGCAGGAAGCATAATATAAATGAAATTATTTTTTTAATGTGATAAAGTATGCCTTTTGAATGCAAAATATGAAATTAATTTAGCTTCTACTATCTAGGCTTAAGTAATTAAATGTGTAAGTAATAAAACCTTCCTACTCATCAGCATGTCTCAGACTTTTACTTGCTGTTATTCATTTTCCTAACTACAGCCATAATTCCAAAATTCTCCTGAATTCTTGAGAGGTGTAGATAGCTGATGCTGTTAAGTGATAAAATATTCATGCATGATTTTGAACACATTTGGAATTAATAGAAAATATGGCTAGTGAGTTTACTGTTGGATTGTACAAGATATCTGAAAGATTTTTACAGATACAAGGCTTCAGGGACTAGATTCAACTGTTGAACTGAATATGAGCTAATGGTAATTATAATTAATTTATTAATAGTTGAATTCATACTGGCTTATCTGCTAACTTTTTCCCTTAAGGAAGTTATCATTTTGTTGACACAGCTGAGCTACAAAAATATATTCAGTAGTTGTAGTAAGGAATCTGTCTTGAAGATCTTTTCTTATTCATAATTTTAAGATATAGGCTTTTCTGTCTGTCTAAAAGACATTTTCACCCATGCTGTCACAAACTCACATCTTTATTACTGCTTTGTCCTTTTCTTTGTCTTTGACAAATGCATTTTTGCTGCAATTATATTCACCCAGACTTCAAAGAAGCTGTAAAGACAATTTTTCAGTCCATCATTTTTTCTTGTTTCTTGCTCTGCATCTCCCTTAGCTCCTTTTCTTTTAGAGCACCAAGGAAAGCTTAGACACTTCCTCTTTTGAGGCCTTTAATGGACTAATACTGACACCTTCCATGGCATCTCAGATGATGATGCTGGTCTATCAGCCCGTGATGACAGCTTCATCACCCAGTGGAACTCGCGAGAAAGCTGCGGTGCTATCTCCCACTTTGCCACCTCACTTAAATGGAACACCTAATGCAGATATTCAGCTACTTTGCTCTAAGTTACGTTAAGTTCTGGTTTTTTGCTATGCCCAGAATAGATTTGGCAGGTTAGCTTGAGTCTGTTAGTAGCACTTACAGTCACATTGATGAGTTTTGTGTTGCTTCTTTTTACTTTCCTGTGAATTTATTGTCTCTCGCTTTATACTTGAGCCATAAAATATTCAGGATAGTGACTGTGCTTTATTCTTATTTATATAATGTTTTAAATAATTATTATTTAATTATTTCATATATAGGAAGTAAGTTTTATTGACTTGTTTACCAAAATGAATGCATGCACAATTGTATGTCTTATTAAAATTTAGATAAATGCTGAATAACAAGACGCTTAGAAGACAAATTCATTTCATTTCATTTCATTTCTGCTGTCTATATAAGTAACGAGCTTTAGTTTAAAAAGTTTGGTATTAATATCTTTCCTGCAAGTGACCTACTATAGAAACATGTCAGATATCAGAGATATAATTTCATACTGTCTTTCTACACTCAACCAAAGTAATATTAAAGAATAAAAAGATTTCATTCATCTTTTTGTGATCTTTACAGAGTTCAAATTTTACTTTTTCTGCCTGAAGTATAGGAGTGCTTACTTCATATTATATGAGGTGTAACTAATAAATCTATTTTAACTTAGCTTCATGGTATATGCTGTGCTAAAAAATAAGTTTCCATTGCTCCTGCAGTAAAAATAAATGTTTTTCAATTAAAGAAAAAATTAAAAATTTATGTTTCTGAAAGGATTAGTTTTTTGAACAGTGGAATGCTTGTCCTCCTTTTCTCTAAGCTCTATGATTAGATGATTTTGTGGTTGTGCACC